TACAAGTGAGAATAGCTACATTTTTTCATGGCTACTTTTTTCATGAAGAATAGCTACTTTTTTTCATAAAGAAAAAAATTCTTGACATTAGGTTAAGAAAACACTGTAAAACTACAATTAAGACAGTAAAATAAATTAAGCTCAGACTCTGTGTAAGGAAGGTAATATAAGTAAAGCATAGCAAATCAGTGGAGTCTTGTAATGATCCTGCTGTAACAAAGTTAGCTTTCAAGTGGGACTGTGTGGGAGAAACCCTGACTTCGTAACATGTGCAAATAGGTTGTCAGGTTGAATATTTTTTAAAAGGCATATCCGGACCAGCAGTTGGCATAATGGCTATGTCGTTGGATTCCCATGTAGTCGACCATGGTTCAAGTCCCGGATGTGGTGGCTTAAATTCATGCCGGGCACATGTGTGTGCGTGCCCAAGATCCTGAGAGGAGAATGGAGGAGAGGGGATTGAGGCATGGCCATCCCCCCAGGGGGTGATTTTTCACTTTCTGTCTCTCTGTCTCTCTTTCTGGCGAGCACGCATGCCCTATAGCAAAAACCTCTCCTAAAAAATAAAAAAGGCATATGATTAAAAAGCTAGAGGAAAATACATTTGATCAGAAAGGTAACAATTTTCTAACAATGAGGAGCAACAGAAAAGATCTTAAAGAGAGTCGACTAAAAGACTTCAAATTTCTGTAAGTTAAAAAATAAAGTACTAACAGAGAAACAAATAAGAAATCAATTATTTTACATCCTTTCTAAACACACAGCTCATAAAAAATAAAAATACTAGAACTTCAACCGGAAAAATAGGTTAAAAAAAAATATGAACAGAGAATTCACAAGAAAAACACAGATGGCCAATAAACTGAATTTTCATTCCAGCCTCACATGCAAATTGAAACAGCTATCTTGTTTTTCAGCTGTAAATTAGGGAAATTTTGTTTCTGTTGTAAGCTCTGATTTAGTACTGGCATGGGTGAAATGAACAAGGCATTCATACTCTGCTGGTGAGGGTAGAAATTGATCCGTGCCTTCTGGAAAGTCATTTGGCAAAGTGAATCAAGAGCCTTCGATTCAGCGATTTAACTTCCAGGAATCTCTCCTATGGATATTATCAAAAATTGTCCAGAGACATACATCATGGTATTACTATAACAGCGCAAAATTAGTATCAGCCCGATAGTTCACTAATGGGAGAGCTCTTAAGTCAATTGTTATGGGTATACAATCACGCAGATATTTGCTTGCAAAGAGACTGTTAACAATAACCCCAAACTGAACAGAATGTGCCAGACTATTAACAGTATGGCCTTGAGTTCACTGAAGGAAAGAGGGCCTTTTCTGCTTTCTACTCGATTTCTAACATTTTCTAAAATGAAAATCTTCCATACCTATAATCAGGAAAAAAATAGGAACACATGTTTATATTCTTTCTCTTTTGATTGTCTTCTCTACATCAATCTGGAAAATGGGCTTCTGCCCAGCAGCTTTTTAACGGTTACAGAAGCCTTAACCCTGGTGTGTCCATACAGACAACATGTAATACTTTGTAGGAGGTAATAGTTTCAACAGTGACTAAGCTATGCCAGGGTTACCTGCAGGGTGGATTGTTTAAAGCCACATGTAATGTGACTTTGTTGCTGGGTGGCCTGTATAGAGTAATCTCCTTAATGGCACGAGGCCTTGGCAGGGTGGTTTTCTTTCCCCCCCTTTCCTCTTTTTAAAGTGTGGGGAGATCAGTTTCCTACACTCTGGTACTCCAGGTCTCACAGGAAGAAGTTTGGCGCAGGTGGTAGTTTGGTGAGATTCAGTTCCACACAATGTGTTATTTTTCTAGTTTATTTTCTGAACTGGACCTTTTTATCTTATCTCAGCAATACTTCTCCCACCTGTGCTATTTTCTGATTCTACTTTTTTTGATCCTCCCTTCTCTCTACCCTAGATTTTTCCAAACAGTTTAACTGTAGAGTAAACGTAAGAGCACTTACATGATGAATACAGGTAGGATCCCTTCATAAAGTCCAGGTTTTATTATGTTGTATTTTTTTTAAAGAATTACATTATCTAACTTCTATTTATTTTGTTTGTTTGTTTTTAATTTGACCAGAGAGGGACAGAGTGGGAGAGAGAAAGTAAGAAAGCAAGCTGCCAAGTCTGGGACTTGAACCGCCATCAGCCATATGGGAGTTCAGCACCCTTAACCACCACGCCACCTGCCAGCCCCTATTATGCTGTATTTTTAAAGTGAGGATATACTTTCACTCCATAGCTGAACAAACAGAGCATTAAACACTCATCAAAATGCAATTGCAGCTCAGCCTCTGTAGAGTAGTTGGTAATGTGCCACACTACAGAGCTGGAAGCCACATGCTCATCACAGTTCGAGTCCACAGTCCAGTTGGTGTGAGAACACCCTGGGCACCAGCGTGCATGCCCAGGATCCTGGCTGGTGGAAGGACTGGAGGAAGGAGATTATGATGTGACCAAACCCTGTGGAGGGTGCTTCTCTCTTTCTCTCTCTTTCTTTCATATGCAATGCCTGCTCACCATTAATTTAATAATAAAAATAATAGTAAAAAGTAAAATTCTTACACTTACTTTTTTTTTTTTTTTTTAGTTAAAGTTTATTTCTTCCATGAGCAAGAGAGACAAAAAGATGGCAACCCCCAACAGGGTCTTCTTGATGCCATGATCCACCCCCATCCTCAGCCTCAACCAGCCCTTGATCATGGGTTTGTGCATGGCAAGGGTACTCAGGGAGGTCTCCAGACCTGATTTTGGAACCTCCCTGTGTAGGTCTGCCCCACAGAGCATTGTGCTTTACTTTTATGCCTCTATGCCCCTCCGTTTATTATTTTTTTTAAGACTTTTTTTTTTTTTGCTGTAGAGTGTGTGCATTTGCTGGAGAAACAGACAGAAAGCAAGAAATCATCCTCTGTGGGGTTGACCTTGCCACAGTTCCTTCTCCTCCATTCACCTCTCAGGATTTTGAGCATGCAAAAACTCACACGGGTGCTCGTACCAGGTGTGAGTTTCCAGCTCCCAGGTCTGGGACTCGTACTGCAGTCAACCACATGGAATTCAGCACCATAACCACAACGCCACCTGCTGGTCACCCCTACACTTACTTTTTAAGGCTTTATTATATTATTTTCTAGAAACCTCCTAGATATTCTTGTTGACATGTGGACATCGTATTAACTAGTACCATTAACTAAGACTTTATCAATTGCATGAGACTTAGCTTTACTAGCCGTGGGTATTTACGTATACATGTAAGTGCATCTGCTGAAGCTACATAGGTGAATTTTAGCTACTAAAACAATGATAAAAGCTAAATGCTTTGTCTTCCTGCAGGAGTTCACCTCTATTATGTCGGAGGGGAGGTATATGCCGAGTGCCTCAGTGACAGTAGCATTTTTGTGCAAAGTCGGAACTGCAACTACCATCATGGATTTCATCCCACGACGGTTTGCAAGATCCCTAGTGGGTGTAGTTTGAAAATTTTTAACAACCAAGAATTTGCTCAGTTATTGGCACAGTCGGTGAACCATGGTTTCGAGACGGTCTATGAGCTCACAAAAATGTGTACCATACGCATGAGCTTCGTGAAGGTAAGTGAGCTCTGATTCTTCTACTTGGGATATAACATCGTTTTTGCTGTGATTTCTTACCATGTATACATCTGTATCCACTCGATGTACATTTGTAGTAGCTGACTGAATGTAGGCATTTTAAAGTTGAAGAAGAATGGCAGTTATTACGAGAATATCATTGGCATATCAGAATACTTGTGTTAGGGACCAGCAGTTAGCGTAATGGCTATGTCACTGGACTCCCATGTAGTAGACTGTGATTCGCGTCTGGACCTGGTGGCTTAAAACTCACACCGGGCACGTGTGTGTGCGTGCCCAAGATCCCAAGAGGAAAATGGAGGAGAAGGGATTATGGTGTGGCCGTCCCCCTTGGGGGACGATTTCTCGCTTTCAATCTCTCTGTCTCTGTCTGTATGTCCAGTGAGCACACGCGCCCTATAGCAAAAATCTCTTCAAAATTAAAAAAAAAAGAGAGTGCTCTGTTAAACCTCAATAGCAGTAAGCTTTAATATCATTTTCCTTCTTTAAATAGTAGTTGTTTTAGCCATTATAATACCATTAGGATGTCATGTATTTATACATGTAATCTAAATACGTGGTGCTCTTATGAGAGCAGTTGAATAAATACATCTTCTCTTTCATTCTTTTAGTAATTTCGTGGTGGTGACTCTTGTTGGTTTTGTTTCAATAAGAAGCAAGTGATCTTTTTGAAATAAATAAAAGTTTATCTCACTGGAGGTTATTATTTTCTATTGCCAGAGGGCACATGTCCTCACCAAAGAGAGAGAGAGAAAGGAGGAGGCAGGAAGCACCCCCAGTGGGTGTGGTCATGTCATAATCCCTTCTCCATTCTCCGTCCTGTCAAGATTTGGGGCACACGCACCCATATGCCTAGCATGTTTTTCAAATCACAGATCCTGGACTCAAAACACAGTTGGTCATGTGGGATCCAGTTGCTTTAACCACTAGGCTATGAAGACAGCCCTGGAAATTAGTTTTATTGGTCAGTTTTAGTATTGATTCCAGTAAGCCTCTTGATATTCTTCTAGTTACAAAGTACCATTTGTTATTATTTCAGAGAGATTTTTTTGCTATAGGGTATATGTGGTTGCCAGAGAGACAGAAAGTGAGAAATCACCTCCTGTGATAGGGGGGTGGCCAGGCTGCAATCCCTTCTCCTCCATTTTCCTCTTGGGATCTTGGGTACGCATGCACACACGGCTGATGTGAGTTTTAAGCCACCAGGTCCAGGACTTGAACCGAGGTCAACTATGTGGGAGTCCAAGAACGTAACAATTATGCCATCTGCTAGTCTCTCTTTTTTATAAGATAAGTTCACATTTTATATAAAGTCCCCATTATGATGAATACTATATGAATTTTATTTCAACAGAGATCTTTACTTTTTTTTGTCTGTTAAATGTTTCTTCCCTTTTCACCTCACACCCTCACACCTCGCAAAAATGCTATTAATAAGACCCATGCCCCAAAAGAAAGAAATATCATAGCCCTAAGATTGTATTATAAAGTTGAGGAGGTAAGAGATTTAAAACATTGCTCATAAAAATTGATCTCTTTGCCTCCTCTTCTGCCTCTGAGAAATAAAAAAAAAATGGAAATGCCATTGAAATGGAAAAAAAAAAACAAACTTTAAACATCGGATTACATTTCCTGAGTCATTGACTTATTCTAGTAACTGACTTCTAAGTCTCTGAATTCTCAAAGATAAATTTTTGTCCTCTATTACTCTGAGAAACAAAACTAATTACACATTAGGGTGAGGCAATCCCTTTTATGTCCTGTCTTCAGAAGCTCACCTAACTTGTTGTTAAACCAGTTTTGTAATGTATTTATTACTGAGGATAATTTTGGAACCTTATTTTGTTAATCATCCTTTAGATCCAAGATACCTTTTCCTGAATATCACTTCTTCCCCAGTTCTTTGAATCAACTCAGCAGATTTCCAGTGTGTTTTCTCAGCGTTTATTTCTTGAAATACAGTTCAGCAGCTCCTTGTAGCTGAGTCTGGTGTCTCTTTAGTATTAAAGGAGGTTTTTCATCCTTTAAAGAGGTTGACCTACCTGCTGTGTGCCTATAAGACGACAAAGACCTTTCTCATTCTTCATTAACATTCGCTGTGCAATTTTCGACTAGGCACATTGGCACCAATGATTTTAAAAGTAAGGACAATGACTCGCCAGAAGTGTGTGTTTATATGTGTGTTTTTATGGTTGTAGAGGAAAGAATAGCTCTTGAGAGTTGAGAGATACAGGTTCAAGCTCTATCCAGTACTTTTTTTTTTTTTAAGAGAGATTTTTGCTTTAGGGCACATGCACTCTCCAGAGACACAGAGAGACAGAAAGAGAGAAATCATTCCCCGGGGGGATGGCTACACTGCAATCCCTTCTTCTCCATTCTCCTCTTGGGATTTTGGGTTCACAAGCACATGCACCTGGAGTGAATTTCAAGCTTCCAGATCCGGGACTCAAACTGCGGCCGGCCATGTAGGAGTCCAGTGACAGTGACATAACCATTATGCCATTTGCTGGACCTCATCCACCACTTTAACTGAGTGGTTAAGGAGCAGGTGTTCTTTTCGTCTAGTCCTTATACTCATTATCTTAAAATGAGAGTGAATGGAACTGAGAAGTATGGTAATTACCTCTGAGGTCCCTCAGTGAGTGTATTATTGAAGGACCACTTTAGAAGAATTTATGACTCCCGTGCTCCAATTAGCTTTCTCCTCAAACCTCAGTTCATATCGATTAATCAATTTTAACTATGTTACTTTTGCACAGTTTTAATAATTTACTTTTACACAAGTGGAAGCAGCCTTTATACTAGTAAACAGTAGTTTTAGCACAAAGCCGTGTATTCAAAATGTATTAGATTTTATTAATTCAGCAAATATTTTCAGCACTGTTCCAGACAAGTATCGAAGATGAAAAGGGACCTGAAGTAATCTCTTATCTTCAAGAGGCTTATGGTCTAGAATATGCTAATAGAATATAATACAATATGAGGGGCTGACAAGTGGCATGGTGGTTAAGGTGACTGGACTCCCACATGACTGACCACGGTTTGAGTCCCGAACCTGGCAGCTTGCTTTCTCATTTTCTTTCTCTCTGTCTCTTTCTGGTCAACTTCAAAACAAAATAAAATAACATAATGACAATGAATAAACTTAAATAAAATAATTCTTTAAAAAAAAAATACAATGTGGTAAGCCCTAGATCAGAGTTATACAAGACATAATGGATGTAACAGAGAAATTACCTTTAGAGAATTTTAATATTTATATATTAAAATCTCCTTTTGGGGCTGGCAGGTGGAATGGTGGTTAAAGATGCTGGATTCCCACATGGCCAACCATGGTTTGAGGCCTGGACCTGGCGGCTTGCTTTCTCACTTTCTTTCTCTCTTTCCCCAACCCCTGTCAAATTGAAATGAATAAATGAATAAATAAAAATGAATAAAGTTAAATGAAAAAAATTAAAGAAAAAAATCTCCTTTTGGGTGGGAGGTGGGGAGTTCTGAGGGAAAAAAACACAGACACAAGAATGCATGTAAACAAGGTAACTAGGTTATGGAATAGTACCACAACAGAGTTAAAAAAAACGATGTTGCCAGGGTCAGTAGATGGCATAGTGTTTAAGGTGCTGGAGTCCCACATGGATGGCCGTGGTTCAAGTCCCATACCCTGCAATTTGACACTCATACCATGTGCATACATGTGCGTGCCCAAGATCTCAGGTGGAGAATGGAGAAGGAATTGTGACGTGGCCCTATTCCTGGGGTGATTTCTCTCTTTCTGTGTCTCTGTCTCTCTGGTGAGCACAAGCACCCTATAACAAAACACTCTCTCTCAAAAGAGAGGGGGGGTGGGAACCAGCAGTTAACATAATGGCTATGTCGTTGGACTCCCACATAGTTGACTGCGGTTCGTGTCCCGGACCTGGTGGCTTAAAACTCACGCCGGGCGCGTGTGCGTGCGTGCCCAAGATCCCGAGAGGAGAATGGAGGAGAAGGGATTGCGGCGTGGCCATCCGCTCTGGGGGGGTGATTTCTCGCTTTCTGTCTGTCTGGTGAGCGCACGTGCCCTATAGTGAAAACCTCTCAAAAAAAAAAAAAAAAAAAAAGAGGGGGAGTGTTGCCAATCATATACATATGTATATTTCAAAACAAAACAAAAAAGAAAACTAGTAGAATGAAAATCTAAGGCACGCAACAGAATGTAATGTTCTTTATGGAAGGTGATGAGTATAGTAATGTCTTTAATTTGATTATCATGCATTGCATGCATGCTTTGGGAAGCCATACTGCACCCCATAGATATGTATAACAATTAAGTGTAAATAAGGAATTATAAACTTTTTTTTAGAGGGAGATTTTTGCTGTAGGTCACATGTGCTTGCCAGAGAGACAGAGACACAAAGCAAGAAATCACTCCCCAGGAGGGATGGCCACACCACAGTGCCTTCTCTTCCATTCTCCTCAAGATTGTGGGCACTCATGCACACATACCCAGCGTGAGTTTTAAGCCGCTAGGTCCAGAACTCAAACCATGGTCAGCTACGTGGGAGTCCAGCAATGTAACCACTGCGCCATCTGCTGGTCACGAAATTATAAAATTTTTTCAAAACTGCTGACATGATAAATGGCAGCTGCTTGTCATATGTTAACAATTAAAAAATTACACACTTTTTACAACATTTATTTTTGTTTTTAGTGTTTACTATGTGGTATGTGCTAGCCAGAGGCAGAGAGAGAGATAAAGAGAGAGAGAAAGTGAAGATCATCCTTAGGGCAGGAAGGGGATAGCTGTACTACAACTCCTTCTCCTCCATTCTCCCCGGGATTTGGGGCATGCACACACACACACTTGGCATGATTCTTAAGCTGTGTGGTCCAGGACTCACCAAGCAGTTGGTCATGTGGGATCCAGCCACCTTCCTCCCTGCTACCTGCTGGCCCACAACACTTCTATGTGTTTTTTTTTTTTATCATCATGAGGACTGCATACTTTACCCTCTCCCTCTCAGCGTCCTAGAGAAATGATAGAGAACATTTTACTGATGTTAATAGCCGGTCTTGTGCAATCTTTAAGATGGTCATTTGGGGACATTCATATAAAACAAGTATTTCTAGAACTTCTGGTTTGTAGCAATCACTATTCTAGATATTGGAGGTCAGAGCTAAATCCATGCCTTCAAATAACTCGGTAATGGGGAGAAACATGCACAAAAGCAAAGCAAACGTGTAAGTACAACTGAGCGTTTTGTTGATGTATGTATGAACATATGGGTTACATACATACATATATACAGATGAGTCAGAACTCCATGTTCTATTGTTCACCAATCCCAGCGAGTTTCTTATCTTTGCAATAGCAAAATCACTTTTCCCTTTTTCATAGTGATTTTCTTTGTCTATAGATCTTTGTTGTCCTAGCTCCAGATTTCTCAAGGTGTCTGGCAAGCTGCCGTCTTGTATTGAATGACAAGTCTGTCAACCGATGGCAATGGCGAAGTGTCAGTCAATACCGTTTTGGACCCTTCAATGTACTCTTGCCAGTTTTCGTCTAAAGATTGAAAGATCAAGGGCTCTGTGGCAATATACAACTCTCAGTGGTTGAAGAGGGGAGAAAACCTGAACGTCAGTCTTTTCTAACATAGCTTTTTCCTTCTTGCTAAGAAAATGAGAATTGAGTAGTAGCTACTCTGTTACTATCAGTAATGGGCAAATAGAAATGAAAGTTAAAGAAGTATCTTTGTCAAAACAACGTTGGAAAGTGTTAGAAAACTTTCGTTTCCTCAAGTCCAGTAACTCTGTATCTGAAATCTGGTGAGTTAGTGTGTGTTCGTAGAGTGGGGGGGGGGGGGAGGGACTTGAAGAGCTAACACCCATCCCAGGAAATTACCTGCCAAGTTTTTGTATATGTACACCTGGGCATTTTGCATGGGAAAAGTATGCATCACTATGCATCACTATAATCAGCCTCTGATTATGAGAACCGTTTTACTTAGTATGTTTAGCTGCCGAGTTCAAGAAGCAAAGTGACCTCCAATGTGTTTTTTTGTAGGGCTGGGGAGCAGAATACCACCGCCAGGATGTTACTAGCACCCCCTGCTGGATTGAGATACATTTGCACGGCCCCCTGCAGTGGCTGGATAAAGTTCTCACTCAGATGGGTTCGCCTCATAATCCTATTTCATCTGTGTCTTAAACGGCCTCGGGCTTCTGCCTCTTGAAAACTATTGAGCCTTGCATGTACTTGAAGGATGGATGGGTCAGACCCAGTTGAGAACTTACAAAGGAGCCTTGATAATACTTGACCTCTGTGACCAACCGTTGGATTCAGAAATTTAAAAAACAAAAACAAAAACAAAACAGAAACAAACAGACAAGAACCCTTGGTAATATGCTGTCAATATCAAGAAGCTGTTTAGTTTACATTTTAACATTCTATTGAAAAATCAACTAAAATGCAGACTTTTAGCAGGACTTAATGGATAGTTAAAGGAGAGATGGCCAAGCCAAGGACAAATAATCTATTAGGAAAACGGTCCTAAGAGATTCTTTCGTGCTTGTTGGCACTTTAAGGTCATTGTGTGACAGAAGTTTAGCATTCATAGTCACCAGTCTTTCTGAGTGTGTTTTTATCAGGTGTAGAGCCCATATTAAGTCGTCTTTACATGGGTTTTCGTAATATTTTAAAACCATTTGTTTAGTAATGGTTCTTGTTTTTTAAGTAAAGGTTAATCATGATGATATACATAGTAATCTTTCTAAAGTTGTATGCTGACCGTACTGCTGTCAGAATAATGTTAGGCATATGCTCTTTGCTAAATACGTATGTACAGAACATTTGAAAGTTAAGAATTGATTAGGCTAGTGGATTTAGGGATATCAAGGGGGGGAGGGAAATGACAACTGCAAATGTAGAATATACTGTAAAAATTCAGTTTGTTGCCTTAAAGAAACAAACTGGTATCTGAATTTTGCCGTGTTGCAATTTTTTAGAGATTTTATCTTACTTTTTTTTTTCATTCTTTTATCCCATCCTCTCCAAAAAGCAGTTATGCAGCTGATTAATTCACATAACTGTGAGAGCAAACGAATAGTTCCTGCTATTCAAAATCAATTCTGAAACTGATTGCCTATATGTTTCAATTCCAATCATATGGAGTGCTGGGATTTACTAAGCAGTTTTTATGGAGTTTACAGTACAGAAATAGACTTTAATTTTCAAGTGAATTGTTGGCCAAGCCTAGTAACTCTGTTAAATATTTGGAGGATTTAAAGAACATCCCTGTGTAAATCCATCTCAAACTTTTTAAATTTTTTTGTACTATGTTTGGTTTTATTTTTCCTCTGTTAATCTTTTATATTCACTTACACACTCATACACTGAGTACTTTTATTCCAAAACTAGCGGGTTTTCTCTACTGGAAATTTTAAATAAACCTGTCATTATTGCTTACTTTGATTAAAAATGTGCCATTTCCTTTCTTCCTGTGTTAGATTTTAGGATCAGTAAGGTTTGCTAACTTTTTGAGATTTTTTTTCTTATATTCTGTGCCAAACATAACCAACAAGGAAGTCTTCCATGACCTTGGAAATTTTGAGGGAGGAAAATAAAGCCAAATTATACGATTTAGACCATCTATTTGTATTTTTAAAAAATGGTGGCAAAGAATATTTTTATTTTAGAAATGTTTATTAGTGAGGAGAAGGAGGCAAAAACAGACTATACTATGGTGGCTGGAGATGAGTAGACGTGAAGGCAGGCTGTGTTACACAAGAGCTGCTGATGTGCCTGGAAGATGATGTCCTAACCTCTGTGGCAAGATCATCTGCTAACAAGGGACCAAGGCCATGTTGAAGAAGAGCAAAAAGTCAAAGCAGCTGCTGTGAGGAGGAGAGTTCACTAGTCCTAAACCAACACACTGTCAGGAAGCATTGGTGTATACTGCTGAGGTTGGGTGATACAGACTTGACGTGGATCCACACAGTGATATAAAGGCCCTGGGATTTGAGGGTGGGATCAGAAAAAAGGAATGTGGTAAAGTTCTCCCTGGGGAAATTCTAGCAGGTTAATGACAGTCTTTGGAATGATGGCTTATGTGGTCCAGGTTAAGAACCAAACTAGACACAAGAATCCAAAAGGGAGTTGCTGGGAAGCTGAGATGAGAATGAGCAAAGGGCACATTCAGTGTGAATGGCCACAGTCTTCAGTCGTTACTTCACTTGGAGCCCTTTGAGAACGGAAGCCTCTCAAACTTCTCAGAGAGAAAGGCCCTTCATGATAGGTGCCGAAATGAGTACAGTTGGGAAAGTCACTGGAGGAAAGAAAAACCAAGGAATCAAGATGGAGGTGAAGGAACATGGAGTGTTTCTGCTTATCATCACATCATCACACAGTGCCTCGCCCATAGCAAGCACTCAGTAAACACTGAATGAAAGGATGGATGGATAGAAGGAAGGAATGGGCTAGGGTGTTTTAGAAGATAATCTGAAAATTACAGTAGAATCAGGGCAGAGCCACAGCATTGAAGGAAGAGAATTTGTAAAATATCAATAATCCAAGACATGGATCTGAAAAAAAAAGATGAATAGAAAAGAAATTAAGGAAAATCAGCAATATCCATCAACTCATCCTGGGATCAGAAAGAGAGAAATGTACAAGGTGCAGAGCTTTCTCCTCTCCCATGCTTGACAGAAGCTGGTATTGTATCAGAGCTGAGTGTGTATTTTAATGTATGCTAGAATATAGGTGCATGTATGAGAGACACAGAGAAGACGAGCACCTTCCAATAGGCTCAGACACACCATGATCCACTTTCTCCAGTCCTCTAACCCGCCGGGATCCTGGGCACATGCACACATGCCCAGCATGTTTTCAGGCCACCCAGGCCAAGAACTCAAACCATGTGGCATCCAACTCCATAGTTTTATTTGTGTTTTAGAGAGATTTTTGCTATATAGCACATAAGCTTGCTGGAGAGACAGAGAAATAGAAAGTAAGAAATCACCTCCTGGGGGAAGACCACAGCACACTCCCTTCTCCATTCTCTTCTCAGGATTTTGGGCACACACACACATGCACCTGGTGTAAGTTCTAAGCTGCTGAGTCTGGGACTCAAACTGCAGTTGACTGTGGGAGTCCCGCAGTGTACCCTTATGCCATCTGCTGATCCTCCAACTCTGTAGTTTAGTAGGCTACCAGCTGTGCCACAGGGGCTGAGCACACAGTTTTCATGGATGTTAATCTTCTGTCATCTGTGTCTTTTTTGAGTCTCTAGGCCAAAGGTTTTGGAAGATTTCTGAAGAATTTCCAGCTCAATTCATCAAGATTGTGATAGCGTTAAATACGGGGAAACTTTAAATAGTTTGTAGAAAAATGGAATTAAAGTACAAGTGTATTTTGATGCAAAAATATTGAAATCTGTGTGTAGTTTATCAGAATATTTGTGTTCCGTAAACTTTTTGAAGACCCTTCCCCCCATAAAGTAGGAGGAAAGAAGAAACAGCTGTAACAAAAGGAGACAAAAATTAGGTCAATGAAGCAACTTGTTAGGAATTCCTAGCTTCCTAGAGTTGTTCTTCCCTGTATTTCAGTTTGTGGTCTAGTAGCTTCTCCAGATATTACCATGTCAATAGTAATATCCAGAATACATATACACCTAGCAAGCAGTATGAATGGAAGCCAGAGAGAAGATAAGAGAATAGCAGAGGAGGCATATGGTGACAGGGTCATAAGACCTTTTTGTCTCAGCAGGACTGGGATGTGAGGGCAGACTTTCCTTTTCAAAGCACCCCAGATTTCTAGCATCAGGTGAAAAAACAGACTTCTGAAAACCTGGTTGCCCGTTGCCAGCCCTAGGGACCATGGACATGGAACACTGGACATTTCCCAGGCTGACACAATACCAGTGGAGTCATTTAGAACAGTGGGTATTTTTTTAAAGAGTGGTTTCATTTATTGCCTGCATTTTCTTATCCTAGTTGGACTTTAAAAGAAATAATTTGCCAAGTGCCTTGCAAATGTACCAGATTCAGATTTCACTACTGTGAGGTTTCACCCAACATAGAAGGTGGGCTGTTGGCCACCATGTTGACTGGTTTCTTTGCTATATAAATGTAGCATTCTTCTGGGTGAATTAGGATTATACAAATTGTAGGTGGTTTATTAAAAACTCTGTTATTGAGTCTGGTGATTGTGTACTAGGGACAGTTTTATGTTCCTTAAAGAATTATTTAACTTTATTTATTTATTTAAATTTGACCAGAGAGAGAGAGAGGGAAAGTGAGAAAGCAAGCTGCCAGGTTCGGGACTTGAACAGCGGTTGGCCCTGTGGGAGTCCAGTGCCCTTAACCACCACACCACCTGCCAGCCCCCAGTTTTATAATTCTTAAGTGTGTCTGAAGACAATGGCCCTGAAAGAGGGGACTATAGGGAAACCTCAGGCCTGTAGTGCCCAACCACTAAAAATGAGAAACCTCTGGTAGATCTGGAAACTTGGTGTGGGCAACTGGAAGGTTGTCATCCATTCAGCCTAAATATAGCATCATTAAAAGCAGGGGCCAGGCCAGCAAGGGGCATGGAGGTTAAGGTGGCTGGATCTCACATGGCCAACTGCACGGTTCAGGTCCTAGACCCAGCAGCTTGAAAAACGCTGAGCACATGTACATGCATGCCCAAGATCCCCAAGTGGAGAATGGAGGACGAAGATTTCATCATGGCCATTCCCCCGGGGGAGAGAGGATCTCTCTCTCTCCGTATCCCCTTTGCCCCCTGGTAAGTACAAACCAACAACCAAAAACTAGGAAAGAAAGGGGAAAAAAGCAGAGACCTATTATATTTTGAAGCTTGGGCATTTCAAAGCTTGTAAATTCCCTCCTTGATCCAAAAACCAAAAATAACAGTTCTCTTGATCCCTGAATATAGACTAAGTTTTTAAATGGGGAGTGGGGGCGGGGAGAAAAAGAGAGTTTGCAGTAGTTACTCTAGGACCGGACATCTGGGAGAAGATGAAGGCAAACATTTTCATCTTTCCCTTGGTCTTGGGTCAGAGAGAGACCAGAGAATAGTCACCTACATCTAGTTTCATCCCATGGGCTTACCACTGTGCTTCAGGTGGGATGGTTCAGAGTGGGCACTTGGATTCTATAGATTTGTTTTTTCAAGTCAGCTCTTAACACTTTCTAGCTGTGTCATTTCAGGCAAGTGAATTAATGTCCACGCCTCAGTCTCATTAAGTGTAAAATAGAAAGATAATCATTGCTTTCTCAGAGGTTGCGGTGAGGCTGAACATTCAATCTTTGCTACAGAGCCACACTGTAAGCGTTTGATAGTGGTTTGGCTGCATTGGTGACAATGACCTCGAGCCAAGTGAGTGCACAGGCAGTGGAGGCTTGAGATGATTTGAGACCTCTAAGAAGATTTTTTTTTTTTTAAATCCCTACAACAATAAGCACTATGGTAAAGAAAAGACAAAACAAAACAGCACCCAGTACATAATGCTGATGACATAAACTCGTCAGTTACCCCTGGTCTTCCAGAAAGTGTTCTATCTGCTGAGTCTAGGCTGAAGGGGATGACCAAAATGCCCTTTTTTTGGTGTGTGTGCTTTCTGGGTGTTTATACACAGCAATTTTCATTTATATGACTCCCACCACCATTCCTAAGTTATAGACTAGCTACTTATCAAAGCATCTCTTATTCTTGAGGTTTTCAACATTAAAATAATTTTGGGACCAGCAGATGGCTTAACGGTTACATCGCTGGACTCCAATGTAGTCATGGTTCAAGTCCCGGACCTGGAGGCTTAAATTTATGCCAGGTAAATGTGTGTGTGTGCCCAAAATCCCAAGAGGAGAATGGACGAGAAGGGATTGCAGCGTGGCCATGCCCCCTTGGGGATAATTTCTCGCTGTTTATCTCTCCGTCTCTCTAGCGAGTGCATGTGCCCTATAGCAAAAAACCTCTCTTTAAAAAAAAAATAATAATTTTTAAAGTTTGTTTCTTTCTTTCATATCTCTCCGTCTCTCTAGCGAGTGCATGTGCCCTATAGCAAAAACCTCTCTTTAAAAAAAAATAATAATTTTTAAAGTTTGTTTGTTTCTTTCATGAAGCAAGAGAGACAGAGACAGACAGCACTCCTAACAGGGTCTTGATACTGTAATCTACTCCCAACCTCAGTCATCTGCGTGTTCAGTGTTCTCAGGGAGGTCTTCAGGCACAAAACCAGAACCTCTCCATTTGGGTCAGCTTCTCAGAGCACCACAGCTCCACCCTCTGGCCCCTACAATAAGTTCTTTACTCTTGGTTCCAGCCTCAGTTCTCGCTTGACTGGATAACACACCTGGTCAGACACGTGACTCCCACTGTCAGTTCAGAGAGTTGCCAATCCTTACGGATTCAAGCTACTCTCCAGTTCTCACTGGAACACACATTAACTTCATCCGCTGAAAGGACGT